TCCCTGCAGAGTGGAATGGTCCTGCAGGATGAATGGGATGTCTCTGTGGGATGGGGTGGGATGTCCCTGCAGGGTGGGATGTCCTTACAGGGTGGGATGTCCCTGCAGGGTGGGATGTCCCTGCAGGATGGGGTGGGATGTGCCTGTAGGGTGTAATGGGATGTCCCTGCAGGGTGGGATGTCCCTGTGGGATGTCCCTGCAGGGTGGGATGTCCCTGCAGAGTGGGATGTCCCTGCAGGATGGGGTGGGATGTGCCTGTAGGGTGTAATGGGATGTCCCTGCAGAGTGGGATGTCCCTGTGGGATGTCCCTGCAGGGTGGGATGTCCCTGTGGGATGTCCCTGCAGAGTGGGATGTCCCTACAAGATGGGATGTCCCTGCAGAGTGGGATGTCCCTTCGGGATGCCCGTCAAGCTCCAGCTCGCAGCCGTGCCCTCCTCCTGCCCTACATTCTGCTTCCTCCCGCCCAGCGTCCTCCCCGTGCTCAATGGGGGCTTTGTTTGGAAGGAATGCAAACAAAATTCGGGCTGTGTGAAAGGGCCAGCTCATCATTTGTACCTCTGCAGTGGACTGGAAAATAATGTTTTCTCCCTCCCTCCCTCCCTCCCTCTCCCAAGCGGTGGCCGTGGGTCTGTCACTTGTCACCAACAGTCACTTTGTGATTCAGTGGCAGAGGGGGGATCTGGCAGGGGCTTGGGAAGGTGGAAAATGATATGGAAACGATTATGGACTTAAAGCTGCTCTGCTGCTGCAGCTCCTGGCTCTTCATTAACATCTCACATCTGAGAGAGCTGGAAACACAAATCCCTTGAGCCAGTGGTTGTGTGTCCAGCAGGACACTGAGGGTTTGAGCCTGCACAGCTGCAGGGGGGTGTGGGCAGCATTCCCTGTGGCTGTGGCATGGAGGGGCCTGGCTTCAGTGCCCGGTGTGAGCTGGCAGCCCCTGGAGCTGCTCCTGGGCCGTGGTGGCCATGGCTGGCAGAGCAGACCCGGTGTTTGTGTGAGGGCAGTGCTTGCACTGAGCGTGGGATCAGCTGCTGGTGCTCCTTAAAGCCTTGGTGCCCCAGGGCAGGAGCCCAGAAACTCCATCAGGGCTTCTGTCCTTTCTAAAGCTGAGTTCAGGTGTGTCATTGAGTCCCAGACTGGTTTGGGTGGGAAGAGACCTCAGTGCCCATCCACTGCCACCCCTGCCGTGGCAAGGACACCTTCCACTACCTCAGGGTGCTCCAAGCTTTGTTCAACCTGGCCTTGGGCACTGCCAGGGATCCAGGGTGGGCACCCTGTGCCAGGGCCTGCCCACCCTGCCAGGGAACAATTCCTCATTCCCAATGTCCCATCCATCCCTGCCCTCTGGCAGTGGGAGCCATTCCCTGGCTCCTGTCCCTCCATCCTTGTCCCCAGTCCCTCTGCAGCTCTCCTGGAGCCCCTTCAGGCCCTGCCAGGGGCTCTGAGCTCTCCCTGGATCCTTCTCCTCTCCAGGTGAGCACCCCCAGCTCTGCCAGCCCTGGAGCAGCTCTGGGGGCTCCTCTGGGCTCTGTCCAGCAGCTCCAGGTCCTTGTGCTGTTGGAATGCCCAGGGCAGGTGGAATCCCTGGGCACAGGGACAGAACCCCCCTTTCCTGCTGCCCACACTGAAGGATCAGCCCAGGGCTTGAGAGTTTTGGGCTCTCATGTCCAACTCTCACCCACCAGCACCCCCAGGCTGCTCTAAGCTACAGGTGAGGACTGGGAATGGGCAGGAAATGCAGAAGTGACCTGGGACCTGTGCTGTGCTGAAGGGTAGCAAACATTTCCATATCTCAGTTGGAACATCTGCAGTTGATAAGGTTTCCCTAAGCCTGGCCCGTGTTCTTCCAGGTTTTTCTGTGAATTCCAGCTTGTCCTGCTGAAGGTGATAAATATCTTACCCACACTTAATGAGTAATTTCATGCTCATCTTTAATTCATGATCTCTTTCATTATCCCCCTGTGATGACGAGATGTCTGTTCAGGTTTTCTCTGCCCGTTGCCCTCTGCAGCTCTTTCCTGAAGTGAATTTTCCTGGAAACCTCCCCGTATGTGTTTTCTGGGAAGCCTTTGTGTTTCTGCTGTTTATTGTCAGCAGCCTGGCTGGCCAGGCACTGCAGCCGTGCAGGAGTCTGGTGGAACTCCTCTGGAAGTGTTTCCAGGGAAATTCATTGCTATTTATAACAACCTTGCTGTTCCGAGGGCTGAACTGGTATTATATTGGAATGGGAGCTGACTGTAACGTGGGATTAGAGATTTATTTTATCCCTAAATACTGGAGTTGGCTAAATCCCTCACAGCCAAGAGAAGAGTTAATTTCCTTGGCTGGGTTAATAATTTACTTTATCTTAACACATAAAAGGTGGCTCTCAAACACTCTGCTGCATCTGGGCACAGCCCAGAGGTGACTGTCACCATGTAAAATATTTCATTGACATGTTTGGTGTTCATTTGTTTGGTTGTGTTGCTGGGGACACGACGTGGCAGCAAACACCTCCCTGAAATGCTGACAGAAATACGGGGCTGGGTGGATGTGGGGCAGTTTTATATCTTGGCAATCAGTCCTTGAGCAGGTTTGTATTTCCAGTCACGTTTGTGTGACTGTTCCTACATTGATTCAGCAGTGTAACCTGATGTGAGGGACGCAGCGGTGCTGGGGAACAAAGGAGCCCTGACCTGAGGTGGGTGGGAGTTCCCAGGCTGCCATCCTGGGATTAATGCCCAGAATAAATCCCAGAACCCTGCAGGTCAGAAAAACCCTCCAGGATCATCAAATCCCAGCTGTGCCAATGCCCAGAGCACCAAGTGCCACATCCAGGCCTTGCTGGGACCCCTCCAGGGATGTCCTTCAGGGCTGGGCATTGTCCAGCTCTCAGCCCAACCAATTCTGTGTGCTGGGTGTTGGCTGAAAGGAGTTCAAGGCAGAGCTCCCATGCAAACTTCTTATGTAATGCTGCATTTCATAAATTCTGTTTAATCTTGCTTGGTATAAAGTGACCTTGTAGATTTGGGAGGGAAGTTTGGGCCTGCAGCTGCTGCCTTTTAAAAAGTCTAAATATAAGCAGGTTTTTGGAAAGCATGAGGGATGATCAGTGGCGTTCTGTGATTGGATTTGAAAGCCAGGATGGTGGTGGCATCTAATTAATGTCAGAGCAGTTTGAGGGGATGGTTTGGAGTGTTCTGCTGCTCTGGTGTAGCTCTGCTGTAATTCTTGTGGGCAGATTTGGGAAGGGAAGGTTGGACCTGGGGCAGCTCTGGGTGGAGAGACCTGGAGGGGCTGAGGGAGCTGGGAAGGGAATGGAGCCCCAGGAGGGGCTGAGGGAGCTGGGAAGGGAATGGAGCCCCAGGAGAGGCTGAGGGAGCTGGGAAGGGAATGGAGCCCCAGGAGGGGCTGAGGGAGCTGGGAAGGGAATGGAGCCCCAGGAGAGGCTGAGGGAGCTGGGAAGGGAATGGAGCCCCAGGAGGGGCTGAGGGAGCTGGGAAGGGAATGGAGCCCCAGGAGGGGCTGAGGGAGCTGGGAAGGGAATGGAGCCCCAGGAGAGGCTGAGGGAGCTGGGAAGGGAATGGAGCCCCAGGAGGGGCTGAGGGAGCTGGGAAGGGAATGGAGCCCCAGGAGAGGCTGAGGGAGCTGGGAAGGGGCTCAGCCTGGAGAAAAGGAGGCTCAGGGGGGACCTTGTGGCTCTGCACAAGTCCCTGCCAGGAGGGGACAGCCAGGGGACAGGGACAGGCCAAGGGGAAATGGCCTCAGGCTGGGCCAGGGCAGGCTCAGGGTGGACATCAGGAGGAATTTCTGCATGGAAAGGGGGCTCAGGCCTTGGCACTGCTCAGGGAGGTTTGGGGTGCCCATCCCTGCAGGGGTTTAACAGCTCTGTGCATGTGCCACTTGGGGACTTTCTGTATTGGTATTGAAATAAAAACCTTTTTCATGGTCTGTGCTTGGCTGAGCTCTCAGAGCCTTGGTGACACTTCTGCCAAGCCTGGCTTTGTCTGTCCCACACCCAAGGCTGAGGCAGGGATGGGTCTGGACAAGCAGACTGAGCTCTGATCATTCTCCTTTCCTTGCTGGTTCAAGCTTTGAGTGGCTTGAACTGTTCTGCATCCCTGGGGAAGCTCAGGGATGCAGAGCTGGGTTTGTCATGCCAGAGCTCCAGGACAACACTCTTAGGTACAGGGGGATTGTTGGGGTGTCCTGGCAGGAGTTGGACTGGATGGGGATTTTTAAGGAGTTTTGAGTAAATTAGAGACAGGACTTCTGAGTTTTTAGATGATGTTATTTATTGTTCTAATTTTTTTCATAGACAGGAAGGGTGAGTTCGGCTTCCATTGTTACAGCAGAGTTCAGAAGGTCTCCAGACCCTTAGTTACAGGACTTTTTAAGGAGTTATTGATTAATAAAACACTGCTAATAAGGACATTTCTGTTTTTGACCCAATCCTTAAATATTTTGTCATATGGACTCATGCTACATTGTCAGCTTTCTTAGCTAATTATGTTATGACACACAAACTTCCAGTACTGCATTCTAAACTCCTTGTTTACCTTTGTAACTACTTTATTATTTTATATCTTAAACTCTAAACATCTAAACTGTCTGAGACACTGTGTGTCTCTGCTTTAAATTATAAATCCACATTCTTGCTTTCAGCACTTAAGTTTGGAAGCCTTTTCCAAGGTCTCAGATTTTGATCCTGTGATTAATTCTGAGCTTTGGCTCTCAGAGTTCTCAGAGTTCTCTGCATTTTGGACTCCAGCAATGGGTGATCCATGGCTCCTTCCTGCTCGGGGTGTTCCAGAGCAGTCCCTGAGGCCCTGGCTGTGCTCTGTCCCAGCTCCCTTCCCATTTCTGTGTCCCTGCACATCCCTGCTTTACCTGGCAGTCAGTGGAAGAAAAGAATTCTGCTGTTCTGCCTCAGCTATTCAGAGTTCATGTAGAATTGATTTTTTTTTTTAAATAACTAAACACTAATTACTTATTTATGTGTTTGTTTATTTTAGGGATAGACTTCAAGATTAAAACTGTTGAACTACAAGGAAAGAAGATCAAGCTCCAGATCTGGTGAGTAACACAGAGCTTCCCTCGGCAGCAGGTGTTCCTGGGCAGAGTTTGCTCTTCTGGATTCCCTTCAGGGCTGCAGGTTTGCAGCTGTGCTCTGTAATTCTACAGGGCCAACTCCACTCCATGTGTGTGTCTGCAGCAGTAGCAGTGCTTGTAACCCCTGGGCCTGGCTGCTCCCTGGGACAGGCAGCTGGCAAACCTCCTGTTTTAGTGGGGAGAGCATCCTCACAGGCTGTGATTTAGTGGGAAGTGGTTTGAAACTGGAATTTTTAAATTAGGACTTGCCTCCAGTCTGTGACTATAAATTGACTCGCAGCCTTGCTTTGTGTCAGCAAGAAAATGCAACCCAGGGCTGCACTAGGGCTGGAATTTTCCACGCTCAGCTGTGGAGAGGTTCTCAGCTGGCAGCAGCACAGCTGCTCTGTGGGGATGTCTGACAAGAGGCAAAGCCTCAGCTCCTTCCTTTGAGCTGCTGTGCTTTGGAGCAGAGGCTTTGCAGCAGGTCAGGTCAGGAGAGCCCCAACCATGGGGCTGGCTGGGCTCCTGCTCACTCTGCATTCTGCCAGGGCTCTGAGCTGGGATTTGTCCCTTTTGTCCCACCCACAACCATAACCTGGCTGTCTGTACATACACATGGGGGTGAGCTGGGATTTGTCCCTTTTGTCCCACCCACAACCATAACCTGGCTGTCTGTACATACACATGGGGGTGAGCTGGGATTTGTCCCTTTTGTCCCACCCACAACCATAACCTGGCTGTCTGTACATACACATGGGGCTGGCTGAGCTCCCTGCTCACTCTGCATTCTCCCAGGGCTCTGAGCTGGGATTTGTCCCTTTTGTCCCACCCACAACAACCCCATGGCTCCATAACCTCGGTGTCTGTACATGCAGGGGGGTGAGTTCCAGTTTTGGGGGACACTGATCCTTCCAGTCATCCCAGAATAATCATCCCAGGATAATCATGAGCGATTTCAATCCTAACCAGGCATCTGGAGCCCTCCTGTCCTCAGCACCCTGAGGAAGGGTTAGAACTGGCAGAAAGTGGGTTTGGATGGGATATTGGGAATTAGGAATCGTGCCCTGGCAGGGTGGGCAGGCCCTGGCACAGGGTGCCCAGATCCTTGGCAGTGCCCAAGGCCACGCTGGGCATTGGGGCTGGACATTGCATAGGACAGGATGAGCTTTAAGGTCCTTTCCAACCCAAACCATTCCATAACCCTATGATTAAACTGAATAAGAAAATCATCATTAAATGTAAAAACAGAAAATATAGAAAAATGAGGATATTTAGGTATAAAGAGTAAGATGTAATGGAACTGTTACAGATTTTTTTGTGGGGTTTAGTGCCTTGGGGAAGTGGAGTTGGGTGAGCTGAGATTTACACAGTGGCAGCTTTTAAATGTCACAAAATTGGGAAGTTGTGGCCTGAACCTGCTGCTTGTTTCTGCTGGGTTCAGATTGCACATCTGAAATGAAACTTGGGAAGCAGAAAGTGAAACTCCTACAGAAAAAAATAATTAAATGAAATCTCAGTGTTGTGTTTCCTACTTTTCCTGTGGCAGGAGTTTGCCCAGCAGTGGCTCGGTGTCTTTGTGCAGTGCATCTCTATTTCCCCACTGCTCCTGCCTTTGAGCTCACTCCACACCTGCAGGAGCTGTGCAACATTCCCAGAACATGCAAGGCAGCAGCTGAGTGAGCAGGGGATGGATTTAGGGGAACATTTCCTGTGCAAAGGCTGCTCTGGATCTGCAGTTGGTTTAATTAAACCTCAGGAGATTCCCACCTCTGGATGGCCCTGTCCTTCAGGTGTGACACCACACAGCAGAACAGCTCCTGGCTGTGGAAAAGGCCCCTCTGACAGCCTCTCTGACCTCTGAAATTATATTTAGGGCTAGAGCAGGAACACAAAGGTCAGGCTGAATTAAAACCTGCCTGGGGTGAGCAGTAACTCAATACTCAGGAGCTGTTGAAGCCGGGCTGCAGCTCTGTAAGGAGCAGGCTGGATCAGAGTTCTGCTGCTGCTCCAGATGGAAATGTGCTGTGAGGAGCAGGGTGGGACACAGCCCTGCACTGCCCTTCCAAAGAAATGAGCTTATCCAGGGCAGACCCACCAGGATATCCAGGTTCTCCCTCTGCATGTCAGGTTCTGGGTGGAAACAATCCAAGAGCTGAGGATCTCCTTGGCTGGGTTATTTTCCAGCTGGGAGAAAGGAATTCATACACATTTGGGACTGGAAACACTTCCAAAGGCTGGGAAATTGAGTGGTTTACAGTGCTGAATGGCTGGAAGAATATTCACTCTGTCATGGTGCAGGGAAGGAATGAAGGACCAGAGTGATGGATCCAGGAGAAGATGGTGCTGGCTTTGCTGAAGGACTTCAAAGGGACAGGGCAGTGGAGCTAAAACTTGTGTTCAGTGTGATATCACAAATTCAGGAACTCAGAGTGGCTTTGAAATGGAAACTAAAAGGTTTTGGAGTTCCCAGAACTCATTATCGTAATGGGGCCATTGAGAAATGAAATGGGATTTTCCTGGGCAGGAAGTGAGGGTGGCAGTCCCACAGAGCACAGGTTTGATCAGCCCTGCTGGGGAGAAAGGGACTTTTTTAGGGAGAACAAAGGGAAAAATGAGGGTTCTTCATGGTGTCAGAAAATCCTGAATATCCTGAGCAGGTAGGGAGGGTCTGGTGGAACTTGCTGCCTTTTTTCATCACCAGAACATCATTTCTGCCCTGAGGCTGGAAAGTGGCACGTGGAAAACACCAGGAAATGAAGTTTTGCTGGGAAACTCCTCATGGGATGTAGGGGTAGCTGCAGGTGTCCATGGACAGGTTCACAAGGGATTTCACAAGAGCCTGGTCAGGTTTGGACTCTCAAATCCACAAATCCCTGATTCCAGAATTCCTTAACCACTGGGAAATGGAAGCTGGAAAACCTCTGGGCTGCCCAGGTGCTTGTCAGGAGGCACCAAAAGCAGAGCTGGCTTTGTCATCCAGGCAAAGCACAGCCTCAAAGGAATGGAACTGGCAGCTAAAAATCTCATTTTTTCTTTTTTTCCCACTTAGCTGCTCCTGTCTTTAATGACATTTGTGTGTCAGCCTGTTTTCCTGCAGTCTTCCTGACTGATTCCAAATTTTAGGAACAGCTTTATGTCTTCAGTGTGCAGCTCCTAGCTGTGTGGATGACTATAAAATAACATTTTTCTCTCAGTGCATCTCTGCTGGCAGCACATTCACATGGCCAGAGAAGTGTCCTCAGGATCTTGGTTGATTCAGCAATGAGCTGGTGTCAGGAATAAATCATCCTGAGTCCTCCCAGGTGTGGGAATTGCCTGGGATGTGCAGGTTCTGCTGTTTGGGGAGTGTGCTGGTGACCAGAGCTGCACACACCTCCCCTCCCCAGTGCCATCAGCCTCATTAATTTCTGCAATTAGCCCTAGAATGGCTAGGAGTTAATTCTGTTTGCTGAGGGCTTCTGAGACTCGAGGTGGAAGATGTTCCTCTGGCATGGCAGTCCCATAAAACAATTGGAGAATTCTCTCATTTTGGATTTCTCATTATTGGATCTCATTATGGAAGCTGGAGGTGCTCAGCCTGGAGAAAAGGAGATTCAGGGGTGCCCCCATCACCCCCTGCACCCCCTGAAAGGTGCCTGTGCTCAGCTGGGGCTGGGCTCTTTCTCCAGGAGCTGACAGAACCAGAGCACACAGCCAAAGGGGAATTTAGGCTGGATATCAGGAAAAAGCTCTTTACAGCAAGGGTGATGAAGTTCTGGAATTACTGGGATGTGGTGGAGTGCCCACCCCTGGGTGTGTTTATAAAGCCTGGACGTGGCACTGGGTGCCAGGGTTTGGTTGAGGGGTTGGGGCTGGGTTGGACTCAGTGATCTTTAAGGTCTCTTCCAACCTGATCATTGTGGGAATTCTGAGAATTTGAGGAATTTGGGAATTTTCAGGGACCAGGGAGGTGGTGGAGTCCCCATCCCCGGGTGTGTTTAACTGGTGTGCCAGGGTTTAATTGAGGTGTTGGGGTTGGGTTGGACTTGATGATCTTGAAGGTGTCTTCCAACCTGGTGATTCTGTGAATTCTGGGAGTTTTTTCCTGGCTGAAGATCATTCAGAAAAGCTGAAATTTGCCAGTCATGAAATACCTGACAGAGCACAGAACCCCAGGATCACTGAGGTGGGAAAATCCCTCCATGGCCATGGAGTCCAACTGTGCCCAATGCCCACCTTGTGCCCAGCCCAGGGCACTCAGTGCCACATCCAGGTGCCACCTGCAGGGATGGGCACTGCCAACCTCCCTTCCAAGGCCTGAGCACCCTTTCCGTGGATCCAGCCTGCCCAGATCCCTCTGCAGAGCTCCCTGCCCTCCAGCACATCCTCCCCTCCAGGGCCTGGCTGAGGGTGCCCTGAATGCCCTCCCAGCCCATCCATGAGGGTGTTGGGCAGCCCTGAGCCAGCCCTGAGGCCCCTGGTGCCCCTGCCCAGCTGGGTGTGCCTCCATGCCCAGCTTTATCCAGCCAGGAGTGCTGAGCCAGGGACACTTTGCCCTTTAGGAAGGGAAATCCTCAGCCTGGTGTTCCCCAGTCCCTCCAGTGCAACACTGAGCTGCAAATGTAACAACAGCGAGACACTAATAAAATTCTTGGGATCATTTTGCCAGGAATTACTTGCTTTAATATGTTGAAGAGCTTCATTTTGAGCCATGTGGACTGGCAGCATGCTCACAAATCATCAGGTCTAATCTCATCTTGCTGCAGCCATGTAAATCTTTCATCAATAAATCATAATGCATTTTAAGGTTTCTTTAGTCTCTGCCAGGTCAGCTGGAAAGCTGTCCCAGAAATTCCTTTCTCTCCAGGTTAAACCTCTAATATGATACAGCTGATGCATATTTTAATGTTGGCATGAGAATAATCCAAATAGATTTTTCACTTTCCCTGAGCATCTCCTTTCCCCAGTCCCACAGGACTGCCTCCTTTGTCTTCACAAAGCTG